TTTGCACGTTTTGTATTAATGTATATTTTATATTTACACTAGCTATATGCAAGAATAAGTGCTAGCCACAAACTAGTATGGTAGAATCAATAGGAGTTTAAGATTTAAAAAAAATATGTACTGGGGTATCTGAACCATTGAGTAGAGATATTACTTATCTCTACTCAAAAGAGTGAGTACACTAAGATTTTAAGTAATTATAAAAATTAGTATATAGCATTTATTAATAAACTTAATTAGTTCAATTCCATTATTTTAAATTTGGAAATATTTTGGATCTTGCATATTCCTACAATTTTACAAATGATTTTTTTCTCTGCTTTTGAACATATTTAGTTTCATCACTACTTTTCTCATCAAATGGTGGCCATTATTATTTCTGTTTATATAAACTTTATCTCAATTTGTTTTGAAGTTATTGTGAAATGAAATACTTTGCACTAAGATTCATGAGCTACTTAATAGTATGCTGCTGACTTTTCTATTATACCTTCTTCCTATATAATCCAGAAACATGCTGTAATTGCAGCATGCCTCTAATCACTTTTTTAAAAACTATGATACAGAAACATTTATAAAGCAAACATTACTTTCTCGGAAATTTGTATTGTTAACCCAGTGCTAAATCTTATATGAAAGATGGCAAAGCAGACACTGCAGGAGTATTATATAGCTTTTACTGGGGCATCAGCATAGTTTCTTGATCTTTCTTCTTCTAAGGATTAATTATGAAAGGTGTCATCAAAAAGCAGCCTCCCTGCTAAATATGCCCTGAAAAAAAGTATTTTATTCAGCCAGTACAGACTGTAAAAAAAAAAAAAGTTAAATTTTAATATGTGTAGGGCTGTAGTATGGAGCTACTACTTACCTTTAAACAAACAAAACTTGTTCTTTTAACACAGTTAAATCCTTTTATAAGCCCTATGCATGTTTTAATCTCTGGGGTAGAATTGAGAATTGTGATTACATTAGTCTTTCCTAATTCCTTTGGTCCAGAGTTTACTCCTGAATAATTAAGGGTGAATGAATCTCTTAGAACTCAACAGAGAAGTTAACCAACGTGCCCCATTTTTTATGCCATTAAGATCTTCCTACTTTTAGCCCAGTTGGAGAAATGCCACAAATAATACATGGTATTTTAACATTATTTTATCCTATAATACAACTCCTAGTCAGTGATTGATTATATTTCTTAGTATCCATGTAAATGAATCCACTGCTCTATAATGAGATGTGCCATATTTTCAAAATCAAATGCACATACCCATACCAGCATGCGCACACACGTTACTTGTTTTCAATATCCAAAGCAAAAAATTAAAGAAAATTATTTTCTTATTATAGTTCATTTGTTCTGTATAAAGAGAAAGATATGATTATAATTAATAAGTTAAAAATAAAAAGTAGGAATAACACATCAGGTATCATATCAAACACAGTACAAAAGAGCAAGAAAAAGGCATTATTGTACATTTGAAAACAAAAGTTAAAAGCAGAAATAAACTAACAAAATTGGTAAGATACAGATGACTTGCTCATAAGAAATTATTTTCCTTTTCAAAGAAATATTATGATCTGATGGAATTGCAGGTTTAAAATTACAGCTACTACCACTTCCAGGATACTTTCTTATGAAGATAAATACTACAAACTTAGAAGATTAAGATAAATACAAAGTTAGAATATTGCATTAATTTTATTTTTATTATTATATTAGAAACTAATAGAAGTAGAAAATGAGAGGAGTTTCAGTATCTTTTGATGACATTTAATAAATAATCCTATTGTCTTCTCTGAGAGCCCCATACAAACATGAAAATAAATTATTTCTACTTGAAAAAAAATGTTTTACTGACTAATACTAAACATGCCTGTTTTTTCTTTGTCAAAGATAAATGTTCTGTAGATTACAAATTTTCACTATATATACATAACAGTGAAATAGAATCATTAATTGTGGATATGTAACTTCTGGGATTATGTAATAAAAATTCCAGCAATTTTCAAATAAGGAACTTAAAGCCAGGAGATGTTTTATGACCTTATGTTACAGAATTGCAGTGATAGAAAGACCATTTCATCTTTTCCAAACCTCCAGTTGATGTTTGAATTCCCTCTATCACATCTATATAAGATCAGTTTCCTAACATTAAAGACCAACACCAGCACTAAGTTTATTACTTCCAAATGTATTTGTCCCACAAATACCACATGTTCTACTTATACAAATATAGATTCTCTAATATAAAAAATAAAGTTAGGGCTGGCTGGTTAGCTAAGTTGGTTAGAGCGTGGCCTTGTAACACCAAGGTCAAGGGTTTGGTTCCCCATACAAGCCAGCCACCAAAAAAAACCAACAAAAATAAATAAAGGTAGATGCCACCTATTCCACAGGAAAAATTAATATTGAAAAAAAAATTGAGCTCTTATTTATATATATGCATATGTGGTTAATTTTTATAGTAGGCATTGTAATCTAAACCATTTCAAATAAGTGAATTCAGCTTATTAAAATGCAAGTTAGATGAGGTTTAGATAACATTCGTTCAACACAACTTTTTGTGTTTTTAAATGGAATTTATGTTCAAATTGATTTTATATTATTATCCATTCACTCCTTTTTATCTCCTAAAACAAATATTCAAACTTCTGCATCAGTATCATATTTATTGCAGTTTTTACATTTAAAAATACATTTTTTTTTTTTTACTTAAAGTAAATTGTCTTATAGATGCTTAAAAAAAGAAAAATAGATAAGGCTAGGTCCTTTCAGAACCAGGAATACAATTAAAATATTTGGCCTGAGGTGAAACTTTGTTAGCTGGAAGCATTGGCTTGTTTTATTTTAAGGTGTTATCCTTTACTTCACCCAACCAAATAATCAAGTTTAGCTCTAAGCATGCATATAATCCTGTCCCTCTCCCCCCACATATATATACTCCCCAAACACGCAAATTTATTTAATGACATGCTATTTATATCATTGAACTCTGATTCACAGAATTTTCTTCTACAGATTTCTTCTTTGGGTTTATAATCTTTTCATTTAATTTTCCTTATTATTTTAAAATTCCAGATTTGTGTTAAAATTACCATGAAATCTTCAAATTCATTTGTAATACTTAGAAAGTCAACTCTTAAACATTTCAGAGGAAAATATAGGTAGATTCCTACTTAAAATTCATGTCTGGAATGGGAAAATCTAGATTTATATCAGAAAATACAAAATGCAAATATTGTTAAAAAGTATTTTGAAACAGCAGGAAAATTCACAAGTGGCAGAACTAAATTTAGAGCAGCTGAACACTTCAGTAGAATTAAACCTTAGTTTACCATGGGGGTGAGGGTGGGGGTGGAAGAGAATCACAACAAAAAGCATCACTTGAGAGAGATGTAGCTATTCTTTCACTATAGATAAGGGTCACGGATAAAGAATCTTAAAACTAGAAGGAGACTGAGCAGTCACGCAGTCCTAACTTAGTATTTTAATAGAAAAAACTAAGGTAGGAAAAGGCAGATCATTGTCCAAAACCACACAACTAATAATTGCTAAGAATCAGATCTCTTAACTCCTTTTCCAATGATCATTTTTGTTTTTTTTCCTAAATATGTGATATGAATAAATAGTTTATAACTGCTCAGCCCTGTCTCTACCTTCCTACTTTTCAAATTAAGAAGAAAAAAATTACCTTAAAATGTTCCAATAAAATATCCGTAATTTTAACGAATTGGGTAGAATGACAATTCGGAATTAGTGAAATGGTTATTTTAAACCGAAAATCAATTTTGCTTTTTAAATTTTTATGGCATGAACAAAACCTAATTGCATAATATTTATGGTTGTTCGTCACCATAAAATTGATAATAAGTAATATGTAAATAATTTTAAGTTACAATTGAGAAAGTTAAATATATCCCTTGCATTCCTGTTCATGATGTGTTTTTTTTTTTTTAGGAAAATAGTTGATACTCAAATATCCCATTAGGCAGATTGCATAATTTTTTTTGATTAGTGGGGTTTCGTTTAAGCAAATTTTCTTTATTTCACTTGGTGTCATTTAAAAACTTAAATAGCCTTCTGAACTATCACATCACTTTTTAAGAAATTCATAGGAACTGTAGCTAATTAAATAATTTATACTTAAAAGGGAATAATATTTCTTTTCCTTCCTCTGAATTATTTGAAAAGTATTTTAACCTATTTTGTTATAAAAAATATTTCCTAAGCTGGTCTATTGAATTTAAATGTATCTGTTTTTTCTTAGCATACCCAGTTATATTTATTTTAATATAGTGCACAATAAAATACCTTTCCTCTTATGATATTAATTTTTAATATCATAAGATAAAAAATAGCAGCAAGATATTTTAGATGAACTCCCAGTAGTTGTAATTCACTTTCATACATTTTGTACAGTATGGATTGACATCAATCACAGTGTCAAGAGCAATGATAGTGAATGGAAATGATTATTGGCAGAATTATTACAATCTATTCCAAAGTTTTCCAATTTTACCATTTTCTTAAAAGTGTCTTAATATTTCAAATATGCTAAATTTTTAAGTAACAATTTATTTTAAAAATCAAGTTTATTAAATTCTTTCCATTAATCTAATGCCCCAGCTTTTTTTAGTTTTCTAGTTTAATTTCATAAAATTGGATTAATACAAGTGGTTTATGATAAAGTGTTAAGATTTTGCTAGGATAAAAAAAGTTGGATCGTTTTAAAAAATACCTGTGTGTGTATATATACATATACACACATGCAGGTTTCTCTCTATAGAATATACAAAATCATTGCATACTGATTAGTATATTACTCCTCAATGACTATATCGCACTTTTTTTTCTTTTTGATTTTTCTCTGGGTACCTTATATCAGGCTTAAGAAAGCAGTTTCTTTAACTTGCATAATTTCATGCTAACAAAATTTGTTAACTTGAATTTCATTTTAAAATTGTATTTCCTGATACATGTTTTTGTTTGTTTTCTTAACTAGTGAAAAAGGCCATAGATTTTAAATCTAGAGGATTTAAATTGTTTCCAGGGAAAGACAACAGCAACAAGTTTTCTATCTGTGAGTGTACTCCTTTTTTGTTACTTTCTCTAGTGCAAGAGTTACATTTGTGGTGTCTGTGTTGTTTGTGTGTGTTTTATCAAAATATTTGTGTATTTACCAAATTAACTGCATTAATATCTATATAACATGCATGATGAATATTCAGTATTTATTGTATTCAAATGCGTATTTAGTTAGTTAATGGATTAAACTGGCAAGCTCCCAAACTCAGATTGTTTTTTGCTAATATTTATTCCATTTTCAACATGTAAAAAAAAAAACTCTTTTGATCTCATGTGTTGATGTATTGATTAATGTCAAGTTTTGTAATTCTAGGATGTAAGGTAAAAATTCCTGAAAATCCTAAATTGGTAGTCTCTTATAGGAATTTTTGTTTGAACATCTCCAAATTTCAACAAAAATGTTTTTCTAAGGAACTTTTTTTTATAATAGCAATTTTTATTTAAGGAAAAAAGTATTCTTAGTGTGAGTTAATTTATTCAAATCCTTTGAGTCAACAGTCTTTTGTAAATTAATTAATTGTTTAATTATTTATTGTTACTCTTTTGAAAATCTAATGAAATGGCCTGAAATACACAATTCTG